TATATATATATATATAGCCAGCTGAGGATTGGCTAAAGTATATCCCCAGTTGTCCTTTCACATTTATGTTTGGTCATTCAAAAAGCTCTGCATTTATTTTGTGTGTGTGTGTGTGTGTTTTGATGGGAAGGGCACCTTGTTGTGATAAGAAGGGGTTGAAAAAGGGGCCTTGGACCCCTGAGGAAGATAAGAAACTGGTGAGCTTTATCAGCAAGAATGGCCATGGCGGCTGGCGCTATCTCCCCAAGCTTGCAGGTTGATTTTAGCAACTTGACGTCTTACTACAATTTCTCCCAGCACTAAAATGAGCTCCATTGATTAGCTTACAGGCTTCAAAAGCATTCAATATGTAATGTAAAGTCTCATTGTTGTGCAGGTCTCCTTCGTTGTGGGAAAAGTTGTCGGTTGCGTTGGACAAATTATCTAAGGCCAGATATTAAGAGAGGCCCTTTTAGCCTTCATGAACAGAAGCTTGTCATTCAGTTGCATGCCATTCTTGGCAACAGGTGTGTGTGTGTTTGTGTGTGTGTGTGCGTGTGTGTGTGTGTTTGTGTGTGTGTGTGTGCGTGTGTGTGTGTGTGGTTCTAAAGGCAATATTTCACTCACTAATATTTTTTGTCCAGGTGGGCTGCAATGGCCTCCCAGCTCCCAGGGAGAACAGACAATGAGATCAAAAACCTATGGAACACCCATCTCAAGAAGCGCGTGGCACACGGGCTCCTGCTCGAGCCCGAAGGCCAGCCAGCCCACCACATGGCGGCCCACGAACCCTCTGACTTTTTCCTCCGGCTGTGGAACTCGGAGGTCGGCGAGACTTTCCGGGACGTGAGCAACGCCGGCAGAAGCTACAGTTCCCCAAGCACGGTGGCTTCGTTCGTCTTGTCGGGGCGCACGTCAGATTCATGGAGCCCACGCGAGGCGGAAGACTCGTACGAGTCGGAACTGCGTGAGCTGCTTCTGGATTTCCCGGGCGAAAACGACATGAGCTTCTTGGGGCAGCCTGATTATTGTTATTATGATTATGGCTCTAGCTTTTCTTGAGGGATGTCTTGTTTTTCTTTTCTTTTTCTTAATTACTGTCTCTGATTAAAGCTTGAAAAAAAAGAAAAAAAACTATATCTATTTCTTGGATTGCTGAAAATTGTGTGTAGTTTATGAGTGAAGTAAACAAAAACATTGGCTAGTCGCATTATACGAGTCACACAACCGAATCAATTGCTCGAACTCAGTCCCTAAAGAATCTCAAACCGGACTTGGGAACGTGTCCGGTCGAGCGATATTTGTCGGCCATCTGCTCGGTTTTGAAAAGCCATTCACCTTTCTTGGCCTCAACAATGGCTCTCTTCTCTTCTGCTTGCTTGTGAATGAGTGCTTCCTTGTTCTTCATTTTCTCAGCATATTCTGCTTTTTTTCTCTCCAGTTGCTCCTGCCAGAATAATATTCACTCATAATTTCAATCAAACTAAAATGTCGTACTTTAAAACGCAACATAAACAAAGCTACGACATTTCAATTTCATAGAATAATTTCTCATTTTTTTATAAAGTATGACGAGTCGATATGACTAACAGTTAGACTACGTTACACATGAATTTGCGTTGTACACTAATAAAAAATGTTGTTGATGATAGTTTTTTTTTTTTACCTCAATTTTTCTGAGCTGGGCTTCTAGAGATGCTTTCTTGCTGTTTTCCCATGATGTCACTTTAAAGTGTTTCTTCTCTGCCCTGTTCAGTTACAAAAGCTGATTAAAAACACTGAATCGAAAATTTTCTACACTGACTGATAATAACCAAACTGAACCGCACCGAATCACACGGTTCAACTCGAGTTTTTCGGTTTCAGCTCGATTTTGCTCTCCCGGATATATATAATGTAAAAACAAGAAATGAATATAGAAAACTTCACTTGTTTTCCACTTTGGCTTTTTCACGATCCTCCCAAGCTTTGATAAATGACAGCTTCTTCTCATGTTCTAGCTTCGCAAGAGCAATATCTGCACATTTCTTTAGACTTAAATCACCATTATTAAATCAATTTAATAATATCTGTAAGGTAAATTTATAGAGTCAATTATATAAATAAATATAAACTGGCCTGCAAAAACTTGTGGAAACTACATTAAAACTTTAATAAAGGGAAGGCAAAATTGCAATTTTAGTCATGTTGGTTTGATCTAGTGGCGTTTTTAGTCATAAGAATTTAACATTTTTGCTATTCACTACAAGAAAACACTTCAATTCCAACGAAAAATTCCAACGGCAAAAATTTCTGTTGGAAATTCCAATGAATATTCCAACAAACTTAATTTTATGTTGGAATAAGTGTTGGATGGTTGAGGAATTCCAACGAATTTTTTCTGTTGGAATATTTGTAGGAATTTATTTCCATAGGATTTTCCGTTGGATTTTAGCTATTTCAACGGTCGTTTTTCCCACGAATTTTTATACGTAGGAATATCCGTTGGAATAGCTATTCCAACGGAAAATATAAAGAATTCCAACGGAAAATTTCTGTTAAAATATAAGAGTTTTTTTTGTAGTGATTTGGTCCTATGATTTTAAAATTCAGTGCAATTTCAGTCATTCGGGTCAAAATTGTAGCGAAATACTAAATTACAGGATCAAATGACAAAAAGTTGAAATCTGGGACTAAAAATGCTACGGCTTTAAACCGTCAAAATTGTAGCGAAATACTAAACTACAGAATCAAATGTTAAAAAGTTGAAATCTGGGACTAAAAATGCTACGGCTTTAAACCAGCAGGACTAAAACTGCAATTTTACATAATTAGGTACCTCTATCAAGAGTTTGACCTGGGCTCTTACTCGCATCAGGATATTCAGCCTCTGCAATAATATGGGGAAAAAAAAACAACAAATCATATTTCAAAAACAATTAAAGATAATTACACAAATTATTTGCAAGAAAAAATTTAAAATAAAAATAAAAATAATTACAAAAATTGAAATTATACAGAATTGATTATTTTTTTTTTTTTTTTTT